GCTAAACATGAAGTATAACAAAAATAAAACAAAGAGTTAAAGTATTTACCTGCCGATGCTATTGTTTACTAGCAACATAAGGAAAATATTTGGGAGAAGTTGTTGTGGTGTGAGAATTATTGCAATACCCGAAGGATTATATATACAAAATCGAAACTATACTACTAAACTACCAAGGATTATACATACAAAATCGAAACTATACTACTAAACTACCAAGGATTATATATACAAAATCGAAACTATACTACTAAACTACCAATACTCACATTCAATGAAATTGTCGGTCAACCATGCAGAGTAGGAATGTTGTTCTAAAATAAAAAAAATATACATTACTTGATGTATAAAGTTTAAGCTGCCAAAGTGTGTCAACTATGCAACATGCAATACATCTCGGTTGTCATTTCCTAGAATATAAATTGTATATGTCATTTCCTAGTATAAATATACAGAGGTTTGGTCTGTGTCATTAATTGCCAGTAGTCAATTCCTAGTATAAAGTGAATTCCTTTCCTAAAAACTTGTCACTGATTCATTTCCTAGAACCGTAATGTTTTTTTTTTTTTAATTAGAAAATATGTTAGTGTACTTGTATTTTTCAACCACCTTCATGTTTTTGCTAAAACATTATTGCATGTTGACAGCTTTTAGGACAGTATTATTTCCTAGAATAAAGTTATATTGTCATTTCCTAAAACAATTTATTATTTACGTGAATAAAAAAAAGTATTGTCAATTCCTATAACAACATACTCCCTCCGTCTCTTATTAATAGCCATGTATGGGCAATTTTCACGGGAATTAATAAGCATAAATAAGTAGTAAAAATACATTGGAAAGATATATTTACATTGGGTATTCAAAAAAGTAGATGAATTTAAAAAGCAAATGGGATTAACCTTTTGGAACTAAAATTTAGCCAAAAAGGACTATCAAAAAGAGACGAAGGGATAATGGCGGTTTCAGAGATTCTTTGTTATGAGCTCGAAATCCTTAAACACGTATAATAAAATCAAATAGCAAAATCGAAAATAAATATTACACATAATAATTCGGGTGTGCACATATTCAAATAATTACAATTGAACTCAAGGAGTCTTTCATATTATAAAAGTGTGTCTTATTATCAATTTATCACTTATCTCATCTTGATCTTGTTGAGCAATTTGTTCTTCACGTATACTAATTGTGTAATACCCCAAAATTTTTACAAAATTAATAATTTATTCAATTATTTGAATTAGGAGCAAAATTAATTTTTGGCGCCAAAGATAATTATCTAATTACTTGAACAATTAATTATTTTAGTACTTTAAATCAATAGTAATAATTAATTATTTTGGTCAATTCATATTTAATGATGTACAACTATTTTAGTTTGTTATTATCTACTTGATTTAATTATCAAATCATTTATTTTAACTATGATTTAAAAAAAAAAAAAAGCTCGTGAGTTAGTTGAGGCCTAATTGTTTATCGATCTCATGGCTTAGCTTTATCCTATATAACTTTAATCATTTAATCATTTAATTTATCTTACCTTACCTTCTATCTTCCTTAACCAAATTAGCATCTATCTTAATTCCATCTCTAAGCTTTTCCATTGGATTTTTTTTTCCTACATGAATAAACCTAGACTAAATTTCACTCGTATTCATTTAACAAATTTACATTTATCATGTTCCCATGCTAATCTCAATCCTTCTTCAACTCTATCTTTCCACTCTCAAAACACTATAAGTAGACCCTCAATTCTTCACAAATTCCTCACATCAAAAGCTGAACTTTCCACTCCTCTTAATCCTTCACACCTTCCTCTTGCTGTCTTTCCCACACTCGTGCAGCAACAACACCGAAACCGCAAATTAAACTAGCTACTACCACCCTCTACCGCCACACAAGCCTCCCCGTGAGCTGCCTTCAGAAGGTGCAAAAGCATCTTCTTTCTTTCACCTTCATCTTTGCCGCAAGTTTCTAAGAAAAATGATACTTTGCTTCCTCTTATTTCTATTGTTACCAATATTACTAAATTATCATAATAATGCTATTTTGATACTAAAATTACAATTTCGATACTAATATCACTACTTTTGATACTAACATAAACTATTAAAGTTTTGATAGTTTTGGTAGTTCATGCACAAATAGAGTATTATCTGTAGTTTTGTGTTTGTTTGGTTAACCTTATATTAATTCAGGTTATGTTATTTGTGTAGGAGGAGTCTCGATCGTGGTCAAGTTTAGTGGTCGTACCTTATTTTTTTCGCGTGATCAAGGTACGTATAGGTGACTAGCTCCTTGATACAATTTTTGACTGCATGTTTTGGTAAATTTTTGTTTAAATGTTGTTTGAATAAATATTGCATATGAACATTTAATGATTTTCATGATAAGTTAAAATATATAATTTTATGATTTTAAGGTTTGATCTTGAAAAGTGTTGATTTATTTAATAAAGGTTGTTTTATATATTTATAAACCACTTGATTGAGTTAATTTAAAATTTGCAGCTCATTATGAGCCTGAGTATTTGATATTTTAATTGTCCTTTTACCCGAGACTGGTTAAGTAAGACTATAAGCTTTGTATGATATGGTCTTTCCTCGAGTATAGTATAATTTGCTTGGGGGTGTGCACACTTAGGTGAGGAAAATTGGTTTGGTATTATATTTTAAAATTGAAAGTTTATAAATTGGAAATCTATTGGTTTGGAAAGCTTTTATTGATGAACATTACTACCCTTGGAAGGTTTAATTTTAGAAAGTCTAATTTTGAAAGTGAATTGTGACAAGTTAAATGGTTATTTCGAAAGCATGTTTGACTAATAATAGTATTTACATGCCTTGCACTTATACGTACTTAGCGTTTTTGCTAATCTATTTTCCTTTTTGTTTTGGTTTGCCCTATATACCATTTTTGGTAAGCAGTCTTGATTTCAGGTATGGAGTTGTTCATGTGCATACTAGAGTCGGGATTGGGATCACATAGTTAGGAGTTAATTTTATTTATGTGTGAAGTTTTTATTGGATTATTTTGAAACAGTTATTATGGTTACTCATATTATTATTAATAAAAGTTAGTTATTTTTCCGCTGCAATTTGAGTAATTAATTAAGCCTTACGTTTTCATGTGGCGGTAATACGCCCAAGTCTATCTCTACGGTATTTGTATACGTATAAATATAGTAATTACGTAGAGGAAGATTTGGGGGTGTTAAAAATTGGCTGATTAAAAATAACATAAATCAATTTGTTCTTTACGTATTACACATAATGATTAATTACTAATTGGTTGATTAAAAATAACATAAATCAATTTAATATAAAGTGGGTAGATGAAATGGAGAGATGGTGAGCATTGACCAAAATTACAAAAGGAAAAGTACAAGATAAAAAATAATAGCAACACATTACTTTAATTGAAATTACTGCGTAGTATATAGTAATGTAGATAATGTGGCCAGTTCAAACAAACGATAAACTAAATCCGGTACATCATAAATCCGATATTATTATTTAAGAACCTCTTGTGGTTGGATTTTCAAATGCCGCCTTTCAATTAGGTAACGACTTCACAAAATACTGATGGATTTTCAATTATCGTCTTTAATTAAGGTATTGGTCTCTTAAGAAAAAAGTGCTCGCATCTTCTCTACATGAGGTAATGGTCTCTTAAGGAATACTCCAGGTATATCTTTATGTTTCTGCAAAAACAAGATTCAATTTAGATTAAATAAATTTAATGAAGTAACCAACAATGTACCGATAATAATAGAAACTTATTTAAAACATGTCATATCTTCACAAATAGCATCCACTTATCATCTTGTTCAACTAGAGGACAACCGGTAATAGAATCAAATTTAAGGTCAGTCCAAATTTTGAATTTATTCCTCAAATCATTCCAATGATTTGTTACTGGTTTGATATTGAATTGCTTTCCACTTTTTACGATCAAAGTACTCACTATTCTATCCCAATTAAGCTTTAAATATCCAAATTCTTTCATCTCCAAGCACATGTCTAACAATATCTCCGTACATTCTTCAGACCATGCTACCATACCATCCATTACATTATGATAAAGAACACTTTGGAATCGATATTTCATGAAATTATAGACATTAATATAGAATTGGCACCAGGATTTATAATCAAAAGGATTCTTTTGAAATAAATGAACTGAACATAAAATATTAATTGTGCTTTACATTTTCATCGATATTACTTGCATTAGGTCAAAGGTAAAATTCATGAAATCAAATAAATGTATATTTTCCTACATTATCAAAAAAACAATGGACAAATGATAAAATTAACGACATAGAGTGTTGAAGTATTTATCTATGATAGAGAAAAAAGACAAACAATCTATTGAACAGATGAATAGAAAAATATTTTAGGAGATTGATTTAGAGTGTGAAAATTATGACACTAAGATGTTGTTTTGTATAGGAAAATAGAGGTGTTACCCGTAGTTGTTCGGAATATTGAAATATGAAATGATAATTTTCAATTCAATTTAGTCAACCATTTTACATTACCAAAAAATTTGTAATATTCCCTATAACAAAAACAAGTCAAATTTCTTTTTTCTATATAACAAAAAGCTATGAAAAATTTAATCTGTAATTTAGGTTTTTTAGAATCCCATTTTAATACTTTCTTATAAACAAATTCATCTATGATGTGGGATATTGTAAATAATAAAATTATCAAATATTACAAGTCTATTACATCAATAAAATATTTATAAGGGATCTATAATAATAATAATAATAATAATAATAATAATGATAATAATAATAATAATAATAAATAAATAAATAAACAATAATAATAAATAATATTAATAATAATAAAACATTAATATTGATTAAAATTAAAAGTTGAATATTGAAATAATTAAAATAAGTTCAGATAAGAAAAAATAAGTTTAGATCACATTAAATCAGAAAAGATAAGTTCAGATCAGAAAAAATAATTTTAGTTCAGATCAAATTAGAAAAAAATAAGTTCAGATAAGATAAGATAAGATCAAATCACACGGTGGCCTTATTAAACTCTCCAATAAACCCTAATCACTTCTCAACTTTCTTACAGTTTCTTCCTTAAAACCCCTACAGTAGAGTACATTTTCTTCCTTAAAACCCTAAAAATGAGGAACAGAGATGACTACAGATTTCTCAGATTGGCTGACGCCATGACTGCTTTGAATCAGAAAGTTAACCTAATCGGCATTATTGCTGAGTATGGAACTCCTACTCGAAGTAGAGGAACAGGTATCTTCCTTTCTTCATATACATTGAATTTTTGGTAGAAAGATTAAATTTTTTTGGTTGGTTTTTGCTTTACTTGCATTTTGAAGTTACCCAAATGATTTATTCTGGCTATGATGAATAAAAGGACGGACTTACGGCTGCCCCCTGAAAAGGGTTTGGTAGTAGATTGATGATTAAGTCTGAGTATAGGTTTTCCTGAGCCAGATTTTCTGCAATTTTTTATGTTGGGTTTTTAAAATTTTTGAATTTTTGGCTAGCATTTTGATACGGTAGTTTGACATTTTATTTTGGGAGGATGAATTTATGTGAAGTTATTGTTACCAACTAATGTTGTACATTTGGACATGGTCTTCATTTGGGACCTTTAAACATGCTAAAGCTTTGTATAATGGTCAAATCCGACATTCGGACATGTACCCGTGTTTGATACTGGTAGCTGAATTTGAATAACTATGTACATTGTACAATAGGATTGGTATTGGTTTTTGGCAGTGAACTGTTGGTGTTGTTGCTAGTGACCACATTATGTATCACTTTTGTTGTTGATGCTGCCTTGGTTAATTCACTTTTTTTGGAGGGAGGAGGGGATGTTTATGTGAAGTGGTAGTATTATGATCAATCTCGTGCCTTGGAAAATGCACTTTATTTTGGAGTCAAAAACATGTAAATGATTTAAATGTTTCATATTTGGCCGGGTCCAACATTTGGACATTGTGTTTGACACTAGTAGCCAGATTTGAGTAACAAATCCCACTTTACAATAAGATTGGGTTTAGATGTTGGTGGTGGTGTTGCTGCTATAGGGCTGTATTGTATATCATGTGATGTTGATGCTAGGCTGATTTTGAAGGTAAAAGTTTCTGTTAGCTGTGGTTATAGTACAATATTTGTCTTCCTATGAGGATCAAATCTAGAATTAGGATGCATATCTTGGTCCTGGAAGAAGACGTTTTTAAAGAACTTTGAACATATAGTTCATATATGTTACTTGGTATCTGTTTTCCTTTGACGTAGATTTTGGGCGAACAACGCTTTTGATGCTTGACAAGCATTTAACAATGTTGGCATTACTAAACATATAACTATATAAGGGTCAACTTATCGATGCTCTTATGAAATTCTTGTATAGTATTTCAGAACTAGTCTTTTACTAAGCTATCGATGGTGTATTGGATAAGGCTGCATACCTCTTAGCACTAGCAACAAGAGCATCCATGGTTGCACTTGTTGCTGCTTTGCTGGGGCTCTTGATATCCTATTCCTATGTCTAAGGTCTGGATGATAATGGTTAATGTTTGTACTACTATTTATTATCTCCCCTGTTACCCCCTCAAGTTTCTTTTATTTATTTATTTATTTTTATTTATATGTGCTGTTTTCAGTGTGAATTAACTTTGCCGATTAACATGATTTGCTTGAAAAAGTTGGCAATGAGGAGTAAAAGGCCGGACTTACGGCTGCCCTCAACTATGAGCTGGTAGTAGGTTGATGATAAAATCCGAGTATAGGTTACTCTGAGCCTAGCTTTTATGAAAATATATGTTCAATTTTTCTACATCACCACTCGCATGTTTATAAGAATTTGCTACTTTCTGCGTTAGCATGTAATTATTATTTTCCAGAATGTGATTGCATATATACTCTTGTTTTTTAACAGATTGGTTTTGTTCATTGAGAATTGTGGATGAGTCACATAATGTCCGTGGACTTTTAGTTAATATCTTTGCTGAAACTCAAGAGAAGCTTCCTCAGGTTAAGGCATCGGGAGATATCATCCAACTTTCCCATGTTTTGGTACCTCAACTTGCAGACTCTTTCTCCATGGAGCTTCTATTTCTTACTGATTTCGTTTTCTGGTGACTATATTAACCCTTATTGTGATGAAGAAAAATTTGGTCAGATTTACAATGTGTTCTTAGGAATTGACTTTCTCTTTTCTTTCTTTCTTTCTTTTCTTTTTTTTCCCCTTCCCATTAATGTACATTTTTTTGACCTTGTAAAGGTGGAAAGATCTTGTTTTACTTCAATTTGACTGGACATAAGAAATATTTTGTCACTATATGTATTAATCAAGGTGGTGACAGGAAGCTCAATTTATATTGTCATATTTTTGTTTAAATATATTTTGGAACTGTATAATCTTAAAAAATTTGTTTTTTATTCTTATCTTCTTGTTGATGAAGAGCTTCATCCTTTATCTTCCTTGTCTTAGCTTTATTTGTTAGATGAAGCTTATGCCTCAATAGCAACCCAATTAATTAAGAAATACCAAGTGAGTTGTAAATTGATTTTCCCAGTTGAACTTGGTATTTTTCAAAATTTCTTTTCCTGTTTTTCCTTATATCTCGTTTTGTCTTTTCGTTTTCAGTTTCTTTTACTGTGTTTTGGCTGATTTCTTTAGTTGTTGATGCCCTAAATGATGCTATGCATATTTCTGCAGATGAAAACTCATAGTAAGGAAGATTGTTTTCTTTAGTTGTTGATGCCCTAAATGATGCTATGGCATATTTCTGCAGATGAAAACTCATAATAAGGAAACCTATGCCCTTTTCAACAAAAAATTCTCTTCATTTGCGCTCTATGAAGGGAAACATGGTGAAAACTATAATCCCTATCAAATCTCATCTATGTTTTGGCCAAGAAACCAAGACACAATGTTTGTGGATGGATTGAGAAAATGGGTAGACAATTTCCAGCTTGATTCAGGTACCGTTTTGGCAATCTAGCTACTGTTTAGTACCGATAGACCACTTTTTGGTTGAATGTTGCACTTTTATTGTTGTTCTCTTAGATATTTAGCTCTGCTATCTGCTCTCAAACCGATTTTTTGAAATGACATAAGAAACTGACCCCCTTGTATGTAAGAGTTGACCAGACTGTTTATTACAGTGCCAAATAATTTCTTGCTAGAGATTTATTATGTAAATGTATTTTTCTTAAGATAAATGGAAGAGTAATTGTTATTGTTAATGATTTCAATTTGTTTATGTGATCAAGTCAAGGCTTCCATGATGGATGCTTTTATTAGGATTTCTTTCCCATTTCTCAATGTAATTTGTCCTCGTATAAGTTAGTGTATAATACAATAATCTATTACCTTTTTTGTTCGCTTCCTTTATCTCTTTTGATATACATCTTCCTTGGCCATGTTTTCCTATTACTAAAACACAACTAATTGCCACTATTTTGCTCCTTTTTTAGATCTTCTAAGTCAAATGAATATGTAATAATATAATACTTCCTCTGTTTTTTTAATTGTACCATTTTTCTTTTTTGGAAGTTGCTTATTAATTGCACCATTCCCATTTATGGTGTGCTTGCATTAACTATTAGCATGTCTTCACACACTAAATACCCATTATACTCTTTTAGACGTTTGATAATAACTATTACCCTGCTTTTTCTCTCTTTTGTTTGTAGTCACATAGGCATTCTTGTGATCGCCCACCTTTTATTTCCTTTCTTAAATCTTGTGCCCAAAGCAAATGCTGCAATTGGAAAAAAAAAATTGAAGAAGTATGACACAAAACTATTCTTACAAGATGTCATTTTCAACCAAAGAAATCAGGATAACTCTGGCTATTCACAAGAGAACTTCCTGATTGGTTTTTTTTTTTTTTTTCCTCTCTCTCTCTCTCTCTATATTACGATGTTTGTAAATGGTAAGCACTTACTGTGGTTACTAGGCTGATGCCATTTTCAGTTAGCTCTTCTCCTAGCCATCTCATCTCATTTGAGTCTTGGTGATTAGGTGATTCATTTAATTTTTTATTTGATTCATGTAATCTTCTGTTTTTTAACATTTAGTTATGCAAACCTATGGAACCTACTACTTTTGTCATGGTTATGATTGTCCTCAGTCAGTTTCTTTCATTTGATCTACTGAATATGAAAGCTTAGTGATAATCTTTACCTGGTGGTTCCTTTCCATAAGTTAGTACTACTGGTTTTTCCACAATATTAAACCTTTTTATGAATGCTGCAGTATCAGAAGAATCTGTGTTGTTGAGGCAAATCAAGGATGGGCAATGTTATGATCTGGTTTGCAAGGTAACTGTTAAGGTGTTGTTGCCTCCTAAATTCTTGATATTTTGTTTCATTGACCTTGGTGATGAGGAAATTTGGGTAAGACAATTGAATTTATAAAGATGCATCATTTAAGTTTGAATGAAAACAAAAATTATTTGGAGGCTTGTGAGTGGTAAGAACTTGGTAGCTGGGGAAACCATAGTGATATATATAGGGGGAGGCTCTCGTGAGAATTTTTCTTATGTGAGAATTTTTCTTATGTGAGAACACTCTTTATGTTCTAAATTTTTACTCGTATGTTCTAAATTTTAAATATGATGTTCTAAACTTTTCCTTAGGTGTTCTAAATTAAATCAAATGTTCTAATTTAGCACTCACATGTTCTAAACCATAAATTAGTTAAGTTTGATATCATAAATTTTAAATAACTTGTTCCAAAATTTTAACTTATATGTTCTAAATTTTAAAACGTGTGTTCTAAGATTTTTAATTATATGTTCCAGATTTTAAAGCGTATGTTCTATTTTTTTACTTATATGTTCTAAATTATTTACTCACAGTTTCTATATTATATATCAGTTTGTTCTAAATTTTTATTCACATGTTCATAATCTTCAATCGGATGTTCTAAATTTTACTCATATGTTAAAAATTTCATAAAGCAGATTTTATAAATTTTTAATCACTTGTTCTAATTCTTAAATTAGACGTTCTAAACATACTGCTCACATACTCATACAAATGTTCTAAATTATTACTCATATGTTCAAAATTTTAATTTGAGTCACATCTTCTAAATTTTAACTCGTATGTTCTAATTTTTTACTCACATGTTCTAAATTTTAGATCAATTCTCATATAAGTATGAATTCACACACACACACACACACACAATGAGAACCAAGGCTAAAATAAGAACTAGGAATTAATATAGGCCCTTAGATCATGTTAATCGGATGGTTCACATGCTTCCCATGTCATTAATGACATTTTTTGTAATATATTAATTTTATAAAGTACTCCCTCCGTCCCCGATTGATAGATAGTCACTTTTGAAGAAAAATCACGGAAATTAAGGAGAATTAAAGAAAGTACATTGAAAAAGTTAATTTACATTGGGTATGCAAAAAAGTAGAGAGAGAAAGTAATTAAAGTACATGAAAAAGTAAAATTTACATGGGAAAGTTAAATTTGCACAAATATTTTTGCAAATGTTAGAGAATTTTGGTAAAAAATAACATTAATAGTACTTGAAAAAAACAAATGTGACTAACATTTTGAGTCACAAAAATGGCAAAAAGTGACTATCAATCGGGGACGGAGGGAATAGTTTCCAGTTTCATTTCTCAAAAGTAAATGAAAATTTAGTAAAAGTAAATGAAATCAGTCTTAAAGTAAATGAAATTGTAACACTGATGAACACCATGGGTCTCTGGTTTCTATTGTTCTTTTACAGGTAACACTATATTTTGGTGTAATTGGTTATAGTGTGTCAAGGGTTTGATATCGACAGTTACAGACTGACGTATGATTGTGTTTCTTTAGACGATTCTACATATCAATATTTGATTAATCAAATCAGTCAATATAAAATTTGAAAACTTTTCAATTTTCCAATTTTGTTCTTGCAAGACAACCAAGAAAATTAACAATTTTCATTACTTATACACAATGTTATGCTCTTTTTTTCCTAGGGTTTTATGTTTGTTTGAGTTGCACATATTACTGACAGTTGGTGATATTCTTCTTTAAAGTGGGTACTGACCCCAGGCTCAGGAGTGGTGGTTGTATTTACTCAAAGATTTTGGCATGTGTGCTGTGAAGTGTGAACATGTAATCAGTAACCAAGTTTAGCAAAAATTCATATCCTTTGCTCATTTACTGTATTGAATCTTAGTATGATTCTGATTTTATGTGTATGTGAATGTAAAAGAACCATTAATAACTGATAAATTCCTCTTTGTTTTATTTGTGTGCGGTGTTTTTTTTGGGGAGGGGAGGATAGGTTTTGCATGTGTCTCAAGTTGATCAAGAGGAGTGGATGCTGTTTGTTTGGGATGGAAGTGATGCTCCCCCACCTCAACTTCTATCTGAGTAAGTGTGCATAAGTCATAAACTCCTTAAAATTTAGCCGGGGATCAAATCATGGATCTTTAGAAGACCCACTCATATTTCAACAACTTTAAATGAGAACCTCTAATATTAACTGGAAGCGTTATACTTTTGCTTCTTCAGAAGCTCTATTGAATACATTAACCTTCTTTTTTTCATTGGTTTTAAAAATTAAATAAGCAGGGTAGGCTGCATAGTTTGTCTTAGGCATATGCTTTGTTGATTGAGATACCAAATCTACTTCTTGGAACATGTGCAGGCTACACACAGAAAAGGAAAATCCACTTCCACTGCAATTGGAACCTCAGCCTTTGGCCAGGGAAGCCTTGTGTAAATTTCCGACTATTGGAACTATATTGAGAGTTTCTGTTGATCAAAAAAATGTCAAGCTCAATATATCTTCAGTTAGTGCTGGTAGATGGATAAAATTTATCAACCTAATGTTTAAAGTACATGAAGGTTTGTGGTGTGGTGTACTAACCTCATCAACAAAAGTCCGTTTCTTACCAAATGAACACCTTGTTATATTAGAGAGGCAAAGGTTGGTAATACACATGCTTTCTTTCTTTTGGTGCATGGTTCACTTTGATTTGGTAAATATAATGTATCTGAGATTTGTGGCAGTATCTCTTAGTAATCTGCATTATTGCATGGTCTGTGTGATTGTTATTAACATCAAAAGGTTGTACATATGTTTCATTAGGAATTTTGAAAAGAGGTTATCCTCTAAATTGGACCAGATGCCATTTACTAGCTTTCCTTGGCCGTGTCGCATTACAGGTGTCAAATTGTTCTCTCTTATCTTTATTGTGTTAGTATATGTGTAAAGATCTTGATGAATAACTGTTATTTACATCTTCTGTGGGAATGATAATCAGAAGTTGATGATAAAGTTGAAGGTGTACCTCTTGTCACCCTAATGGACGTTATGACGTATCCACAGGTACTATTTGTCCTACCCCACTTCTTCTTTCCCTGTTTTAAGATCATAATATGTACGCTTTTATTGCAAACTTATCTGGCATAATAGCAGATTCTAATTTCTTTATTTTCTTTTCCGTGTTAAGAGGGGAAGGAGAAGCGTATTCATTGAATTTGAATATGGCCGTTTTCTATTCCTTACCCTCTTTTCCTTCCCAGTTTTGATCTCTTGGATAAGGTTGAGGTGCTTTTTATGTGAAATATTAATTCCGGCTTGCCTTCTCTTTTCTACTTCTATAGTTTTGGGGCTAGTATACTAGAATTTTATAGCTATGAAATGCTATACAGAGTATTAGTCCAATGTAAATTCTGATTCCTCTTTTAGTTTGTGTTCCTCTCTCACTAACATATAACGTCACTTGTGAATGTGCCAGTGGACTTTGCATCACTTAGGCAACCAAAATCTTTATGCCTTTGACCTTTATATTCCTGTAAAAGTCTAGAATCTTTGTTCCAAATCATATATAGGACATGTTAATTTCTTAAATAACAAACGTCAAATTTGATTAGTTTTTTATGGATAAAGGAGAGGAGTTTCAGGCCCGATGCACTTTCTTGTGGTTGCCTGGCTAGTATTTTTTAGAGGGGGTAAAAGGTGAAGTGACCCTCATGATTAGTGAGGGGGGGGGGGTAATAATAAAGTTGTCTAACCATGCCAAGATGTCTCCCCTGTACACTCGTTCCGTACCCAATTCTCCTAGCCTTTCACATTGTTAGTCAAGACATTTGAGTACATATTTTGGCTGTATTTGTACCCATCCATTTCCGGTATGGGAAACACTAGGAAATGGGATATCTGTGCTTCATAGTCAGTGGTATCTTTTACTATGTACTAATTTGCTTACAAGTAAAACGTTTGTTGTTCTAAGTATCTCATTCATAAAGACTGAAATTTGTGCCAACAAGTGTAACTAACTGGACAGAAATTAGATTTAAAGCTTGATGATTGACTGGTTGAACAAAAGGATTAGAAATAATAAATTGATAGCTTTAGGTTGTCACTCTCGTGGGTAACTTGAGGTTACTAATCTCAATACATATTACTCAATTTTCCAAAAGCATAACATCTACCTCCCCTACCCCCCTCCTTTTTTTTTCTTATACATTACAATGCGTACTACAAAAGTGATTCCCTCTTAAAGACTATTTGTCTTCTACTGACAAAAGAATCAAGCTATTAGAATTTAGGTGGTGGTTGTTGCTTCTTCACTTAGTGCAACATTAATGACCCTTGCCCTCATTCCCCTACAACTAGCTGCACTCCTTAGTTGCTTTTGCATTGCTGCAGTTTGTGCCTCCTAGTGTACGTTTGGACCGGTGGTGCTGGTGGGCTTCGGCCATTTGAGTCTTATCACACCCATTTTTAAACAATTTAGCAGGTGATTATTATATGACAGAGAATTGAAATGGTAATGTACGGTTAGCATGACGAGCAAGAGGAGAAATAGAGTATCCTGTCATTAAAATTAGTGTGTGGGTTCTTGACAGTTGGGAAATTAGCAGTGATTTCCAATATCCAGAAATTAATTTAGTGTAGAGCCATTGGAAATTATCTCTAAGTCTAAGACGATGATGAGTTGATGACAATGGGTAAGGTTATAGCTTTTTACTTTCAATCTTAAAATTTGGCAGATTGAATAAAAAAAAAAAGTGGCATATTGCCACAATAACAGATCTTGTCTTTCTTCCACGTTATAACTAGCAATTATCTTTCATTTTCTCACTTGTACTTTCAAACTGATTATTTGTATGCCTTAAGTTAGGAAGTGTTATACTAAGTATATATTTATAGCAGTATATGATTTGGGATTGAGGCTAATCAAAGCAGGCCTTGATATCATCCTATTTTGCATGCATGTCAAATACTTGTCAGATTGTTTTCCTGTTTCTAGCACTGAAGGAACAATTCTCTACCCCTAATCTTTTCACCCCCCTCGTTTATTGAATTTTCAAACCATGAAAGCGCTTGGCTTTACTATCTTGTCAATTTGTCATACTAAAATGCTTTAGAAGATTCTGCATGTGTGATAGTATAATAATTTGTTGTGCTTCATTCATTTAGGTGACAGGAAAATATAAATGTATTGTTCGGGTTGTAGCAGCACTTCCATGGACTATTCAGGACTTTCGCTCTCCAGATGGAACCTACCGGATCCGGCTTACTTTAGAGGACCCAACTGGAAGAATTCATGCCTATTTATTTGCTGAAGATGGGGTATGAGTTCTTTCCTTCATCACTTAATTTAAATATTGGCATTGTGTGAAATCTAAATAATAAACTATTGAATTCTGGACATCATTGTGGAGGTGTTTGGTTCAATTGATTTTCGTATCAGGTATGGTTTTGAAATCATCCAAACCAATTTTTGATGTTTGGCTCAGTACTTAGGGGACCCACCCTCCAAATCCCCCTCACCCCCCTCACCCCCTGGGTGTAAGGAATCTTTACTCCTGAAATCAGCCATTAAAATTAAATGTTACTCTGATTTCCATGCCTGCCTTCGTCTACCATAGCCTCAGTCTACCCAGTAGTCCAGTGCCCACCTAAATTACTTCACAGATCCAACACAACTTTCCCTGCAACCTCCGTCAGTCCGCCAACAAAAGCGCTAACATTACCACCAAATTGCCAAAATTGTAACAGTGAAAAAAGAAAAGAAAAAGAAAAATAGACTATTCGTCCACCACTGTAACACCCACAATAACCTAAATCCCTGCTGAAATTAAACCACCACAATCATAGCTACCCAAAGTATTTTTATAAAAACAATTTTAAAAAGCACCATCAATTTGCGAGATTATTAATGATCATTTTTGCCCTTAAAGTTCAGACTAAAAGTAATAAAGGTAATACCCATGGAGTTGATAACTGATACCCTACCTGATATCTTTGGCTGAACCAAACAACCTTTATACAGGACTTCATTTATGATAGAGGAAGTACAAGCCAGTCTTGTGATTTATCATTAAGCTGAAGCAAGGAACTTCATTATTTGGTGGTTTACCAAATTTCACTACGTAGCTCCTTTGAGAGAGACATGTGACTCGTTCCTTCGTTGAGAAAGAGGCAGACATCGCAGCATTTAGATACTTGCATTCTTAAATACTGACAGTCAAGAGTTTGAAGTATGCTTATTTTGTTGTTTTTGAATGGCAGGAAGTATTTTTTGAAGGTAACCCGCCAATGGATGCATTGATTCGGAAGTGGAATACGTTGCTTGGAGTTGCTGAAGTTGATAGTGGTGGTGTAATAGAGAATGCTCCCAGAAATCCTCCATGGGTTCTTTGCTGTATCAAATCATATTATGTTGACAAAAACGATGTCTGGGGAAGTAGGAAGTACCGAATCTTTGATACAAAGCTCGTATGCTGAAGGTGAACCTTGTAGTGTTGTTTTTGTTTCTGGTTCTGATTTGTCCTAAATCCAGCTTATCTTTATGCTGACAAAAATGATGTCTGGGGAAGTAGAAAGTACCGAATCTTCAATACAAAGCTCATATGCTGAAGGTGAACCTTGTAGTGTTGGTTTTTGTCTTGGGTTCTGACTTATCCTAAATCCAGTTCATCTGGTAATTGTAAATTTTGTACATAGTGTATGTAAAATGGCGAAACCCGTAACTGGCATTGAAATGTATGACAAAAGGCTGGTGTAAACTGGACTAATGTTCATATGATCATTTCAAAGATGAATGAAGGATTCCCTCACTTTGATCCACCTGAATGCTTTAGTTTACTTAAAACTGTTAAAATAAAATTAATAAAAAATGTCGTTGACCATATTGTTAAATTTTACTTGATCGCAATAGTCACTTTTTTTTTTTTTTTTTTTTTTTTTTTTGGGAATCACATGGTTTAATTTACAAAGTTTAGAATTTTTTTTTTCAATCTATATTGTTTGTGGTGGTCTGGTGGAAGGAGTATATATATATAGGGTTGAGATCTAATGAGAAGGATCTTAAAATGAGAAGGATGAGAAGGAACATGTGTATATATTTTTTTACTATATGTGCATTTTTTTTATATTGAATGTGCATAATTGTATTTCAAACTGCTAAATTTTTTTTGTTTTCGGGAAAAACGAAAATTATGCACTGTTAAAAAATTATGCACATCAAATTTGACTCACATTTTTTTTTTGTACATTTAGTTAAAAAAATATGCACATTCAGTACAAAAATTATACACAAAAAATCCTTCTCTAAGAAAATTCTCAATCGACCCTCTATATATATATATATATATATATATATATATATATATATATATATATATATATATATAACACGTTGAGCTAGTGCATTATATTCTATTTAAGAGACAAATGGTCCGAGAGTATAGGGAGAAGTTTCCGTTGGACAATGATTGATCCACAATTGTTCAACTCCATAATGCACTAACTTAGCAAGATGGTGGGCGACAACATTATCCCCTTACCTTTACTTACAAAAAATGAAAATAGTATATTAAAAGAACGATCTTGCTAACGAGCGCCCGGGGCGTTAGATAAAGATAAATTATATTGGTTGAAATGGTATTAAGTTAGAAATTCATGACAAAATCACTCGTCGTTCGGTGTAATTAATGTTAATTTTACTCTAATATTTATACTTTAATTCTCTTATGTAAACGCCCAGAGGGCGCTCATTAGCTTTTGCCTTAAAAAAAATTGAAGCTACTAGTAAATTATGACTCTAATATAGCAACTTTTTTGAGCATTTCGACGTGTTGAAATGACTTGAGAGTTGAAGCAATTTGCCTAGACCTAGGGTTATCAATTTTCCATTAACAACCTATATTTTCCTTAAGTAGTAATCATTTTTCACTAAATTCGATTTGTTTTTTTCGATTTATAAGTGGAGTAATTTGACTTTGTTATTATAATCACCGCAAAAATTTACCCCTAATCATTTAATTCGTTTCAAATCAAGAAGATTAATTGATAACGCACTTAATCTTGCCTCATTTGTGGTAACTCCATTAATATCTAATTTCCTCATCAATCTTTAACAAGCTGTATTATCTATATAATGGTTAAACTCTTGGATTGTTTAACACATGTGATCAAGACTCATCTTCAATTTTTGATCTGTAAGTTTTTTGTTGCTTTAATTAATCAACTTTAGGAGAATCATCTTGTTTCATTTATATATACTCGTTAATTTGCTAAGGTGAGATTATTTAGATCGTTTTTATTTATTTTTCATTACTACTTCAATTGATGTTTAGTTTAACGTATTTCGGAATAGAGGTAATAATTAAGATTGATGATGTTGACAAATTTCTTTTTAACGTCTTTTATACTATCTCTCACACTTTGATCAACTAAACTATCAATAAATAAATAACAATATTTTGTAGAGATTATAGTGCATTGATATTTTAGAAGGATAGAGATACGTCAAGATATTTAATTAATTATGTTTAATTTTCTTAACAGAAATTGAAAGGTGTTACGAAATGAAGCTTCAAAGTGTTGCGGTAATACTTATAATCACAACCATATGTGTGACTGGCAATATGAAAGCTTTGGGAGTGAATATAGAAGAGAAGCATGGAACCCCCCAACCTAAAGAAATTGAATATGAAAGTGCTCCATTATCTTCTACCTATTCTCACCATGAGATTCCTTTGTATAAATATGTCCCTCCATAAGAAAATAGCACTATAAGAGAAAAAAAATTAAATGGGCTAATATATGTACAAGTATGAAATAATAAATTATCAATGATCTTTAGTCTTGCTAACGTTGTGGCTGTGTTATGTACGCATGTAGATTAGTAGTTCTCACCTTGTGGTGTAGGATTCGTTTCACTGGCTTGGGAGATTGTGCTACTTATACATGGCTAATATGGGTATGTTTTACATGTCTTGTACGAGTCTTACCTTATATTAGAGACATGTACTTTTAAACAATACGTACGTATTAGTATTTGTTGGAATAACGTCCTTTTGTAATTAATTATTAAACAGTGGCAAGGCTTTACTACTTACAAGCTAAGTCCTATTAAAAAATGTTACAAAGTTTACCAATTCGATGCCAAGCTCCAATTATTTATTCGGCTCATTTCGTATTATTTAGTTAGTTGGAAGATTATAAACTCATTTTTGAAATAATTTCCCTTGTAACATCATTACACAACGTATATTAATATGTTATACCCATACAACCTTGAAATATTAATAGCAAAAAACAATTAAAACTAAAACCTCACGAATCACAACCATATATAGCATACAAACCTTGCATTCTTGCAACAAAGAATCTTCTTGTAATTTATTTAGGCAAAGATGTTAAGAAAGATATATTTTTTGGTATCTCATATCTCTAACAAAAGATCCGCTCCAACGGGTGTTCAGTCCATTGTCACTTAGTGAGTGTTGTGACTGTTGTCATTGCCTCTGCATATACCAACGGTATCGTGGTGGCTGGTAGTGGCTAGTTGATCATATAAAGGTTGACCCTTTAGTAGCCCCGCAAATAACTCTACGGGATCAAAGTAGATTTCTACGTCCTCTGCTTTCATCGATTCATCCACCTACATTAAAGTTAAAAATATTCATTGTTGTTGTACACAAATACGAGTCAATAAAAGTTGAACTTTTCTTATTATTTTTACTAAACTTAAATTAAAAATAAAACTAATTATTAGCCTATATAATATAAGATGAGTGATCAATTTTTCATGCCTCCAACAAAAAGCGAGCCCTCATATTATTTCACATGTGATAAGATCTTAGAACATCAACAAGCTTCTTCGTCATTTCCGCTGTGTGGACTCCAAGCACATTTATAGAGAAAGCAATCGAGCAACAGATTATGTTGCTTCCTTGTGTCATTACATGCAAACCCATCAAGATATAGATTTTTTTTTAAAAAAATATTATTATTATTATTATTATTATTATTATTATTATTATTATTATTATATAAAAAAAAACCTACAAAGTCAATCAATTTACAAGAAATTGGTGGGGAGCCGAGATACAATCTGCGCCCCCACCCCTCTAGCTATACTGAACCCGATCCTGCAGAAGATGTCAGCAGCTGCACGAGCACCAATATCCTAAGTCTTAGCGAACGCCTGAACCCGTTTCAGCAACGCAATAGCAGCACTCTTTAATTCCCCCAACGAAGAAAAGGAGAATGGAAGAAAACCATAGCCAATACCCCTACAACGCGCCCCATACTTGTCCCGCTTCCGCTGAGCCGTCGCAGACACAACACGACCAGGAACGAAGTCAGGCAACCCCAATTGTGTTAAAGATGAAGACCCCGTCAAGTCAACATAGACATCAAGGCCTCTATCCCAGGAATAAAGCAACACATGTGCTGGTGGAAGAGCCCCGTCGTTCCCTCCAGTCAACCCAACGTTAACCTCCTTTCGAGCAGAAATCCCAGACCGAAAACAAATATCAACAAGGGTGTCACGAACAACGTTGTGCCGATGTTTGATACCCACCATCCCAGCACAAGACACTGCATGATCCCCATAAATATCCTCATCAAAAACCCTTAAGCAAGCAGAAGACGGTGTTGAAATGGAGAACAAAGGAACACCCAACCTGTAGGCTGTAGCAAAGAACACTACGGTAAGTCTTACCATTCATAGTCTGACCCAAACCCGATATCGGGACCGTCTGCAATCAGGCCGAAGAGTGATCCCCCTGTTGGGACTTGCATAAGGCAACCTGACGCGCAGATAAGGAGAAAGAGGAATCCGCAGATGCAGTGACGTTCGTGAAATATATATATCTGCCAATTTTTTCATGAGTCTGGGGGCAGCGATCTCACTAGGGTTACTCATAAGGCCAGTCTCCACAGTCCTGTTAAAAAGACTAAGAGCACCATCGAAGGCCGGTCTCGATCCAACAATACCAGAATTGCTAAGAAGCGTAGCCTAAAGACTAGAAGACTGCAAACGGGACGTAAGGAAAGTATAGTGCCGAACATCACCCGCTGAATAGACACCTAAACCACCATAAGTAAAAGGTTAGGTGGCAAGTCGCCATTGCCAATCACCAAAACCAGGCCCCGAAGCAGTTACAATGCGCTCTAAAGAAGCCCGAAGGGCTACATCAAAAGAAATCTGAGTCGTTTCAAAAAGACGAGGAGGACAAGTGCGCATAGCAAAGTACAGCTTCGAAACCCAAGTACACGCACGAAGAAGCAACAACTCGCATTGGGGATCATCGAGCTTAGCAACAGCATCCATTAGCACAATGGTCTTCGACACTCTCTGCATAACAAGCTCGCCACAGAAAAAGAAATCAACACTGACAGGACCACCCATCAACTTAACGCCATGGATAGGACGACTAATATATGCTGGAAAGACACCCACGAGATGGCTACGAGGGTCCTCCGAGGGCCTGAAACTCCAAAACCTTTCCTACCACTAAGGTGTCACCAATAATAGTGTCGTCATCTAAATATCATGTTATTATTATTATTATTATTATTACTATTATTACTATTATTATTATTATTATTATTATTATTATTATTATTATTATTAGTAGTAGTAGTAGTAGTAGTAGTAGTAGTAGTAGTAGTAGTAGTAGTAGTAGTAGTAGTAGTAGTAGTAGTAGTAGTAGTAGTAGTAGTAGTAGTAGTAGTAGTAGTAGTAGTAGTAGTAGTAGTAGTAGTAGTAGTAGTAGTAGTAGTAGTAGTAGTAGTAGTAGTAGTAGTAGTAGTATTAGTATTAGTATTAGTATTATTATTACTACTAAACCTGGGCACGGGCCGGGTTGGCCCGCGTGCCGCCCGGCACGGCCCGAATTCAAGCACGGCACGACACGAAGTTCAACTCCCGTGCCACGGGCCGTGCCACGGACAGGGTTGAGAATTCCCAGGTACGGCCCGGCACGAGCACGGCCATGGCCCGCCGTGCTGGCCCGTCGTGTCGGCCCGCAGGCACGGCCCGGAACGGCCCGCGGGCCAACGGTAATGTTACCGTTTATTCTAGCTCCTTAATAAGCCAAAAAAACGGCTAGTTTTTTGCCAATTTGCTCCCCAAAAATTCTATAAATACTCACCTCCATTTCATTCCCAAATCACAAAATCACAATCTCTTCTTCTTATCTCTTATATTCTCTAAATCTCTAATAATCCTTATTTTCTTAAATTCTCTAATTATTCTCTTAAATTCTCTAATTATTTTCCTAATATCGGAAAAAATTAAAAAGTTTGTAATCGTAATTAGTGGAGCGTTGAAGCACGGTTGTAAGATCTAAACTAATCTTAAATTTATTATTGTTTTATTGTTATTATTAGAATAATCTTGTTTAATTATTATTGTTGTTAATTGTTATTGTTGTTGTTATAATTGTTGTTATTAATTATTATTATTGTTACAATTGTTGTTATTATTTATTTTTGTTGTTATTGTTATTGTTATAGTTGTTGTTATTAATTATTATTATTGATATTTTTATTGTTAAAATTGTTGTTATTAATTATTATTATTATAGTTAACCACTTTTTATTAAAAAATTAATTGTTAATTATGGCATCGAACAACCCATCATCTAGGTCTAGGGGGAAAGACCGACTTATCCGTAGTAGTAGTTCTAGGGAACCACCAAATACAACGAGCCCCCAAATTACGAGTCAAACCAATGACCCCATTTACTTCCCCCCGGGCTATGAGCCATATAATACATAGGGATTTCCAGCACCACCACTAAACCAATTTCCACTACCACCATACCAATTTCCACCTAATTATATCGGTGATCAACAAAACTATTGTTCTAGCCAAGGTAGCCAAGAAAGTACCCGAATTCCCTCCGGTTCTACCCCTTCTACTGCTACTCCCACTAGTCCCACTACTAACCATCACACACATCATGAATGGTTAACCGAAACTGAGATGCTACTTTTGAAAAACCGAAGGAGTGAGGTATGGCGTTATTTTGTCCTAAGTAAAGATGGTGAACAATGGGCAAAATGTAAAACATGTAATAGTGTATTCACGGCAGTTACCAAAAACGGGACGGGACACTTATCTAGACACATGAAAGCTTGTGCAAAACCAGCTAGTGATGCAACCCAGCCCAAAATTTCCCAATTCCATCCATACGGCTTTACATACAACTATGAGAGGGATAGGGATGAACTAGGAAAAATGATAGTACACGCCGAACAACCTTTTCTTTTCTCGGATAGTGACGCATTCAACACCTACATTAACAAAGCACTACAACCCCAACATAAAAGAATCTCTAGGAAAACCGTTCGTTCCGCCGCAATGAAAAATTTCCTAGAGTACAAAGTCCGGTTACAAGCCGAATTGAGTAACCTTAACTGTAGAGTATCTTTAACAGCCGATTCTTGGGATAGTGGTTATAAATATCACTATTTATGTGTGACTTGCCATTGGGTAGATGATCAATGGATGTTACAAAAAAGAATAATACATTTCAAAATGCTGGAATACCCACACACCGGCATTAACATTGCTCACCATTTAATGCAAGCAATAGACGAATACAACCTTCGAGATAAAATGATGTCTATGACTTTTGATAATGCAACCTCTATGACATACACAGCTAATCTTATCAAACAAAACTTAACCGATGTACTATTAGACGGTGAAGCTCTTCATACTAGATGTGTTTGCCGTGTACTTAACTTATGTGTACAGGATGGAGTTCGGGCAATTGGCCCATACTACAGCAAAATCAGAGATGCTATTATGTCTATTAATAGCTCTAACATGAGATACCAAGAATGGAAGAGTTTTCTAAAACAACAAAAGATAAGGGTAATAAAAATTAGAACCGATTACCCAACTAGGTGGAATTCCACCTATGACATGTTAACAAAGGCAATTGAGTACAAGGGCCCGTTAACATTATTTTACAACCAAAAATTTCCACAAAATGCTTTGTATGATGATGATTGGAATAACTGTGAAAGATATATGCAATTTTTACAGTTATTATATAACATGACGTATTGTTTTTCTACTGTTTACAATCCTTGTGCTCAAAACTTTCTTTCTAATGCATGCTTACTCGCCCAACTTTTCGCTGATCATCGCCATCAAAGTGATTATGATCAGTATCTTCCAGCAATGGAAAAAAAGTGGCGTAAATATTATAGTGAGATTCCTTTGATTTATATTTTTGCTTCCATATTAGATCCTAGGCAAAAGTATGAAAACACATTTATGTTAGTTGACATTTACTTTCAATGCATGTTTCTTGACGATGATGTCGAAAACTATAAGACTAATGTGAAGGATCAGTTTTTTGCTTTATATAGAGTCTATGAAGCCAAATATGGCACCGTTCCTCGCTCAGGGCCTTCCCAACCATCCAAAAACGTAAGTAAGAAGGCCAAACATTTATTTTCACAAGCTACTAACTTGATTTCAAGGTTTTCAGGTGATTCATCAATCAGGAGAACGCAAAGCGACGTCTCGGAGTTGCAGATGTACCTGAGTTACGACTTCACCAAAGGCATGGACGACGATGAGATAAACAGCCTCGACCTCCTTGCATGGTGGAAACAACAAAGCTCGAAGCATCCAACTTTGGCGGCAATGGCACGAGACATTCTTGCTATCCAAGTTTCCTCCGTCGCCTCCGAACGAGCTTTCAGCGCATCCGGAAGGGTTTTAGACGATAGAAGAACAAGTCTAATACCCGAAACACTAGAAATGTGCATGTGTTTCAAAGATTGGTTGGATGCGGAAAATCGCTCACAAGACCGTTCTTACGACCACAACGACAACGAAGAAGGAACCTCCGCTTCCGGTTCGGGTTCGGCTAGTTCCCAATCTATGCAACTAGCCGATGACCTTGAAGGCGAAGGAGAAGGCGAAGACGAAGACGAAGACGAGCAAGAAGAAGGAGAAGAAGAATAGACAATTATTGTATATTGTACGATTTTAAAAATATCAATTTTATCATTTTCCAATTTTTGTTTAATACCATCATTGTATGATTTTTATCATTGTTATCATTGTACAATTTTCTCAACTCAAGTAATAATAATATAAAGTACGCATTATTCACATCCAAAGTCCAATTTGCCTTTTTTCCCCGTTTTGTTACAATTTGTAAATTCATATTAAAAAAAAAAATTATACCAATTACTAATAAATCATAAACATTAAATTTTAAAGTAATAGTATAAAGTAAATATATAAATATAAATATTGAATATACAAATTATAAAACATAATTATTCAACTTATAATTATAAAATTCATAACTTAATAACTTATAACTTATAAGTTATAAACTTATAAAACTTATAATTATAATTTTATAACTTATATACATTATAAACTTATTAATTTATAATGTTGTCATATAAAAAAAAAAAAAAAAAAAAAAAATTATTTGAAAACTGCACCAGCCCGCAGGCCGGCACGTGGCCGGCACGGCACGAGGGCCGTGTCGTGCCGTGGGCTGGCCTGTGAAAATGGCCGGCACGACACGGCTCGAAATCCTGGGCCCGCCGGCACGACCAGCACGACCGGCACGGCACGAACCAGCCCGTGGCCCGCCAGGCACGGCCCGGCACGGTGCCCAGGTCTGATTATTATTATTATTATTATTATTATTATTATTATTATTATTATTATTATTATTATTACTACTTTACTAACTTTTGTGTAGCTTTTATTAAAGAATAAAAATATGTTATAAGATCTTAGAATCCTAGAATTTCATATTTCATGTGTTTCGTTATTCCTTTTCTATTTCTTTATTTTTTTCACAAAAAAATAAGTTTAGCAAAATAAGTTAAGGAGATCGGTCAAAGTCTTAATATCATTTGTTGTAGAGTAATTAAAACAAAATAATGATGTTGTACCTTCAAAATGCCAAGGCCATAAAACTGAAGCATTTCTCCGGTAGGAGCATGACCTTTATAAGGTCCTTCAAAGTAACCCCAATGCCTAAACTTGTAAGCAATAACAGGCGGTCCTGAATACACAGAGATCACCTCCCATGCGAACCCCCTAGGAAACGCTGCTTGGAACGCGTCGTGTGATGATTCGAATGTCTCTTCACTGGCTTTGTAATATGTCTGAAATTCTTCTGGCATTGAACTCTTCAATAAGGAATTGTAGCTCCCTAGCCTTAGCACTTCTTCCCGTGTTAACCCTTCTCTTCCTGTTACAAACACAACATATATATATACTTCTTTAGTGGCCTATCTATCATTTTATAAGTTATAATTAATGTTGTTTACATTTGTTATACTTGTATGTACTTAAATTGATTCCAATCTTCCAACTTACAAGGTTGTTAATGTTAAAGTGAATTCATTTACTTTATGTACACAAATGCTCTAATACTTTAACAATAAGGAAAATAAATTCACTTAACAATAATCGAATCCAATTAGAAATATATATTGGAGGAATACCTAATCAATGCTGATCTTGATTGCAAAACTAATAGCATGACATGATAGAGTTATGAGAAAGAGAATGTTGGAAAGCTTAATCATATTGATGAATATACACGAGTATATATAGTACTAGATTAGAACATTGAACATACCAAACTATGACTGGATACAATATGTAATTATAAGGGATATACTTTGACTAACAAAATTAAAGAGTAAATCAAGAATTTATATATTCTAAACAATAACTAATAATGATAATGATGATATAATCATCTTTATCCTTTATACGCCCCCGCAATATGGACGTTCGAAACGAGAGACCGATCTTGGATATAACATCTCAAATCTTGTTCAATATAGGAATTGAAATGGTGGTGAGAAAGGTTGCATTGCATTGCGATCCTCCAATAAGGTTTGGAGGGAGTGGAGCATTAGAAGGTTTTATTTAGAAAAAGAAAAGGAAGTGTATTAAAGGAGTTTTTTTTTTTTTTTTTTTGGGATGGAGGAGTTGCGTAAAGAAGTAAAAAGATAATATATATATATAGAGAGAGAGAATAAGAACTTGTTTAAGGGGTGTTTTTCACGGTTTTTAAACACATGAACCATTGATTGTAAATATTTAAAAAAAATAAAAATTTGCTAGCGTATGCTTGCAACAAATGGGAGGGAAAAAAATATAGAGGTTCCTTCACCTCCATTGAAGGCGAGATAGAAAAATTATAATGGTGGTGATGGTGGTTTAGAACATAATGTTATTTCTTCTCCATAATGGTTTTAGAGAGAATTTCGTATATGGTAACACATGGTAGGTAAAATACGAGATATCGAAAAAGGTTTATTTCTCCGTGTAAGGGGTTTGGAGAAAAAAATATATCAATGGCATCTCTTGGTATATGAAATACGGGGTGCCAAAAGAGTTGAGCGAAAAGTGTGATTTTGGTTTGAAGCTTTCCGAGATGAAAGGTTTGATATGGTCACCATCATTTGTCGGCGTCAACAAAGGGTTTTGATAATGTAACCATGGTAGTAGCGGAAGCAAGAAAAGATAGATCAAAAGCTTATGATACCATTGGAAAGCTTAATTATATTGATGAATATACACGAGTATATATATATAGTACAAGATTAGAACATTGAACATATCAAACTATGACTGGATACAATATGTGACTAGGTACGTTAGCTAATTATAAGGGATATACTTTGACAATCAAAATTAAAGAGTAAATCAAGGATTTACATATTCAAAACAATAACTAATCATGATAATATAATCATCTTTATCCTTTATATGACATTTTATAAATATTGATATGTACATAAGATACCACAAAATACATAAATAGTACCATACTACCATTAGATGGTACAGTGGTAGATATAATTTATTTTGCTAGTGGTACAAATAGATTTGTGTTGACCCTAAGTTTTCATGATGACTCAAGAAACCTAAGCAAACCTTAACTAGTTTAACTTCTGTTTTAGCTTTGATTAATGATAGGTTTATGCTACGAAATTCTAGACTAAGAAGGGTGCATGGAACAAGGTCTAGGTCAGCTATGGAAGGATAAAGAAGACAATCACAAGTCGTGTTCTTTTAGTGAGGAACTGAAGCTCCAGAGTTGAAGCTTCAAAGGCGAGTTCCTTGCATGAGGAACTGAAGCTTCAGAGTTGAAGCTTCTCAGAGTTTCAAGGAGTCTAATGTATTTTATCTTTATTTTAGGCTTCCTGTATTTATGTTAAGTACAATGATAAATTAGGATTTAAGTGGATTTAATTTTATTAAGTAAAGATTTTATTTTCCATATGTTAACTTGCTTATTTTTCGAAAAATATCTTTTAAGTTAAAATATCTTTTTGTTAAAGGATTTTCTATTTTTATCTAAGTCTATCTTTTAGGAAAATCTGACTTGGGAAAATATTCTCTCCAATGTGTGTTTTATTTGGTCTAGGAGGTTGAGAAAAACCAGGGAGCAGTAAAACCACTTCCTGATAAAATATTTAGCTTGTTGCCCAAGCTCCCATGAACTGCACTTCTGATAGGTTGTCGTACACCTGTCAAAAATAAATTCCTCATAAAATCAACTAACAATGTAGTAGGGTAAGTAGGGTCGAATCCACAGAGAGATGGCTATTCAATCTACCTTTCAAGTTATGGAGAAACTAAACTATGTCGCGAAATTGGGATGAAAATATAGTGTAAATTAAAAGAGGGAAAAAAATAATTAATAAAAAGACCTAGGGTTATGGTTCACCATGTTTATAGTTCTAAATCTATCAAATATCAATAACAATTCAATCAATTAATTATCTAGAGAAATTGCTAAGCCTACGGTCGGGTCTTAATGCTCTCAATTCAACATATGTAGTTCGGTCGCTAACATGATCAGAATTGCTAATTGTAGGTAAGCTTCTAAAAGTAAGATCTTTCGATTCAAACTCTTATTAACAATAATTAATCAAACAATTGATCAGGTAGCAATATTAATAAGAAAAACACTATCAATTAGAGATATCAATAATCAAATTATTAAAAACATCAATCAAGATTCATTGTATAAACATGGATTCCCAAACCCTAGAAATAAACTATTCTGGCATGAAATAAATGATAAAAACTAAATCTAATGAAGAAAGCATAATTAAAAGCAAGAAAATAGAAACAAAATACCTCAATGAATTGAAATTATAAACCCAAGAATCATCCATGGAAGAATCCATGGAGATGCCATGAGAAACTAGGGTTCAAGAGAAAACTCAAAAGAACGTAAAAATAAAAAGTATAAAAAGGCATAAGGGAAAAATAATATCCCTTGGAGTCTTTAAATTATCCTAAAACTAATCTAAATATAATTAAAGAAAAGTAAAATATAAATTACACAAGTTGTCAAACGATTGGACGATAGAAGATGACGTGGCACGAAGATGCTCAATGGAATCGAGGGCCAAGCAAAAGACGTGCTACGATGCCCCTTGTTTGCTGCTTTCGTGGGTAAACTGGAGCTATAGCTCCCTGGTCGAGTGAGCTCTCGCTCGGGGCTGCTATTGCTCGAGGCCTATGCGAGCTACCTTGCGAGCTCTCGCTCAGGGATACTGGGCATTGTGTCAACTTCACAGGCTTGTAACTTCTGATTTATACGTTGTATATAGGATGTGACCTACTGTTGGAAAGATCTTAAAGTCTAGTTTCCAACGCAACTTTAATCACTTCAATCCAATTTGTATAACTCAAGTTATGATCAAAAAAGTGAGCAAAGGTTAGTTTTGCCACTTTGTAAAACATCGTTTTACTTCGTTTCTAGCTCAAATTCATTTCCGAAAGATGCATAGCAACCCTTGTGGATATTATATTCATTCCTTATGCATATAAATCTCAAAATAATATTGCACAAGTATATATCTTTCATTGAACAACCTCGATTCATCGACTTCTCATCCTTTCATTGTCCTATTCAACTCCAAACACTACGAAAGCGTCCAAATGTCTATCAAATCACCTGAAACATTAAGAAAAACATAAACGAAGCGTAATAGAGTACAAAATAAACAACTTATGTATTTACGACCTAAAAAGCAACAAAAGACCTAAAAGCTACTATAAACTTAGCATAAACGTGCCTATAAACTCTATATAAATATGACTCATCAAATTCTTAAATTCATGGAAGATGTGGTTAAGTGGAGGTTAAGGAAAACGGTGGTTTTTAACTTCCTTCTCCTCCTATAAATAAACTTTGTTTTCTGGTTGGAAAAATACACTTGAGCATTATAATTTTTTAGCTTTCAAAAGAGTCATAATCCACTTAAGTCCTTGAGTGTCTTTGTACTTAGCATTTAGAGTTTAATCTTGAGTTGTATTGGGATAGAGTTTGGGGAAACTCTAAGAGTGTTTATAATGAATCACGATACTATTCCGGATCCAAACAATCCTGATATAATAATAAAACAAAAAAAGTAGTAGTAGATTTGGGTAGAGACTTTGAGAGGTGAGAGCAAGATATAATATTTAAATTTAGTTTTTTGCTAAAAAAGAAAGTGTAAAACTTATTAAAATACGGCCGGATTTGGTAAGTATAACACTTCTTAAATAGTGTAACTTTACCTGTATTACATGAGGGAATACTTTATTTAATAAAAAAATTCTTTATTGCTTTATTCATATGAAACTAAATAGTGTAACTTTACCTGTATTACATGAGGTGCTAAGTACAAACCGATAATTATTAACAAATAAATATGTGCATTGAAAATTGTGATAAAAATAGAAAGAATTTTGAAAGATTCTTTAACAATAATAAGCCACTTATGAAAAACATTTGGATGAATACAAAATTATTTATGCACAATTATAAGTTAAGCAAAAAAACCCAATTGTTATATATAATTGGTCTCCTTTTATTTTGAATTGGAAAGTAGCAAAAGTTGTCGATCTCTTTATTTCTTATAGCAGTATCTAAGATATGTCTTTTATCAACCATTTTTTTCTTTTTCAAGGTAGCATGTGAAGGAAATGTGCCCTTCGATTCTAGTGCAATTACTAAGTATAATTATGGATCGTATTATGGAGATAGTCATTCGTTTATTTGGGTCGTCTATACGTCTTGCTAGAGAATGCTATAGAACTTTGGGTTAGTGACTAACAAACCCGAAACCCGCCTAAACGGATCCTACAAGGTCACACATAAGGTTTGGATCAATAAAGAAACCCGAAGCCCAAAGTGGGCCTTAGGGTGACCGGCCAAGAAGGGAAAGGGGA